GGGCTGGGGACCTTCGAGGGTTCCTTCCAGCTCGTGCTTCTGCAATTCTGCCAGCTCTTCTTACTCTTCAGATCCGAGGGTTCCTGTCCTTTCCTATCCTACACTCTGTCACACTGGAGAGAGAGGGTGGCTGCTGTTGAATGTGCCTCTCCTAACAGAAGACAACTGGGAAGGCAGCCAGGAGCCCAAGGCGTGCGGGCAGTCTGTGCAGGCCTGGGCAGACTGGCTTGTCCTGTGTTCCAGTTAGCCTCATCACATGCAGTCCCTGCCCATGTTTGCCCTGAGGGCTTGGTTGTTCTGTCCCTGTAGCTGCAGGTGGCTGTTGAAAACCACTGCTGGTGGTAGTGGTGGTGGTGGAGTTCTTAGAAAGAGCTGCTCTTTGAAAATCAAGTGTCCTTTTTTGGACTGATGTTAACATGCTTGTATAAAGCAGTGTCTGTCTCATCCCAACAGAACAATGTCCTGAATGCCATCCTGCTTCTTATGAAGGAACTGGACGCAGAGGGTCTGGAGATCGTCCAGCAGTCAGTAGGGAGGAGGCTCCAGACCCTTCAGAAGATGGAGCTGCAGGAGGAGTGACGGTGCCCATTATAAACCTCCCCGGAGCACCAGCCAGCCCCAGACCTGCAGCACCGTTCTACCCACACATGCCTGGCTGAAGCCAAAGCCTCGGTGTTGCCTGCTGTGCTTCCCCTACGGAGGAGCTGGGACAGGGTGCTGCTGGCTGCCCCTGTAGCTCCTGACATTGCCCCTGGCTCTGTCATGCTGGCACCGGCAGGACCTGACCTGGACTGCAGGAGCTTTCCTGCTTGCGTAGCAGGCTCCATTAACACCTGTATCTCATGTTGCTGGGACTTTTTGATGGGAGCTGCAGGCGAATCGGCAAAGCAGAAGTGAGCAGGGCTGCAGTGAGAGGTGCTGCTGTGCTGTGCGATTGAAGAGCAAAGCCCGCTGATGGCTAAGAAGGTCAGTGCTTGGTGGCTCCCTGTCAGACTAACCCTCAGCCAACCTCTGTTTGTGTGTAGCAGACTGTGAAGGCAGTTTCTATGACAAAGGTTTGTTCTTGTGAAGTCTATCGGAGACACTGCCTGAAACGATCACTGAGAACTGTCTGGTGCAGATTGTGAAGGTCAATGTCAAATTCTTCCTTATCTTCAACTCCTGACTTCTTCTGTCCTCCTTAGTCATGCAGCATCTGACTCAGTGATCAGGTGGCCAAAAGAAAAGCTCCGTGCAGCCTAGGTGAGACAGAAATTTCTCTTTCCCAGATCCTGAATGCTCAGCTGTACTCTCACCCCCACATGGCCCTGCAGGCATTAGAGCAGCTTAAGGAAACTTAAAGTCAGAGCAAAAAGCCCCTGGGTGTTCTGCAGTTAGGAGAAAACAAGCCAAGCGTTACTGCCTGGCTTGCAGAGGCATCAGGGGTGGTGTTTCTCTTTAACTGAAAAAGCTACATTTACTTTATAGAGCCTTTAAATACAAACTAAAACGTTGTGACGGTACCAAATAAAACCAATTATCCCTCTAGGATGTGTAAGTTGTGGCTGGGGTTCAGCAAACAGAGTGAGAACGACTGACTCTGGGCATTGCTCCATTACGTCTGGTTCATGGCTTGCATTGTTAGCCCTGAGGAGCAGGAGGAGGGCTGTGGGCCCCTGCGCCTTCCCGCTTCGCTGGACCTGTGAAATGGCTCACCCGCCTCCGGTGCTGGTTGGTAACTGCACCAAGCTGCTTTTCAAAGGCAGCCTGTGGTTTGGGAGCCTTCTTGCAGCCACGAGTAGTCTACACCCAGTGCAGGAAGCAAAAGAGATGGTGAGCAAAGCTCACTTGCTCAGGCAGAGGTGCAAAAGCCTGCCCAGGCAGGACAGTGGCCCCTGAGACATAGGACAAAGCCCTCCATGCCGCTTGCTGTGGGCCCTGGTGCTGCGTGGCATGGCCCGTCCGTATCCCCACTCTCCCTGTTTGTGCAGGTGTCCGAGCCCCTGCGTGCCGGGTTGTGCTGAGGGGAAGGCATGTTCCTCAGGGATGGTGACAGCCCTGTGTCCACAAGCCTGTTTACTTGACCTTGGTGGGAGGAGGGGGGAAGAGTTTGACCCTCGTCAGTTGGATGAACTTGCCTTTAACTCTTCAAATGACCTATTTCTTGCCTTCTGCGTTATCCAGCTGTGCATTTAAATGGCTAGTGTGATTTATGATGTACCAGCCTTCCCTTGACAGCCAGGCCCGAGAGACTTGCCCATCATCTTGTTTGCATCTTGCCCTTGTGCTGAGGGCAAGTCCTCTCCTGGGCTGTCTCGACAGCCAGCTCAGTGACAGAAGTCACACCTTTCCATGTTGGGGAACAGGGGACCTGCTGTTGCGGTGGGCTGGAAACCCGCCCCAGCTTTGCTGGGAGGAGAGCGATCAAAGCAAGCTCATGGTTTGTCATTGGGGCTTGTTTGGAGTGAAAGTGGTTAATGGAGCAATTGCCACGGCCTGAGGCTGCTCTGGCACAGTTCCTCTCCACTGCTGGAGAAGTTGGGCGGTTAATCCCTGACTGCACGACTGTCCCCAAGCAGAGCTTGCTGCCTATGTACTGTGCTCGTCATACTTGGCCGGTACCAGCGCACAGGCTGCCAGGCAAGCTGCCCTTGATGCCTCCGACCACTCCTCGCAGGGTGACCCCGCAGCATCCTGCTCGCTCTCGGCACATCCCAGGGGTGAGGCTGGCCCCTTCGGCTCATGCCTCTTCCCTCCAGGAACCTGGCAGCCTGCCTTTTGCTGTGAGATGCTCATGGCTTTTTGCTCTTCTCTCTCTTTGGGGACAGGGAGAAGCCAGGGCTGGACTGGATGTGCTGGGGAGCCTGGGTCCACAATCACATCCTCTCCTGCTTGTCCTGGCAGGGGACAGGGTGATTGGCCCCCCCAGAGGGCTGTGCCTGTCCCATGCCCTCCAGGAATTTGGTGCTCCAGGCCTTTTTTTTTTTTTTTTTTTTTTTTTTTTTTGAGTGGAAATGAGGTGTTCGGGCTGCAGAGCCCCCTGTCCCCAAGTGCGTCCAAATGTGCAGCTGATCTGAATGTGGAGACGCGCCCTTCCCCATTCACACCCTAAACCTGGCTGCGGGAGGGCTGCAGTGCCATGCCAGCCCCGCCGAGAGCGCCATGCTGGAGAAAACATGCTGGAGAGGAGCCGAAGGCGAAGGCCCGGGGCCTGCCAGCTGCACCCAGGCACGAAGCTCCGCCTGGGTTGCAGTACAACCCCGGGGCTTTTCGGTGTGACCTGCTTTCACCCTGACTTGCCTCAGCGGGGGATATTGAGCAGTGAGGGCAGACGTTTACTGGTTGTGGAAAATGCCAGCGGCTGGCTGCCCGCAGGCACAGATCCAACGCGACTTGCATTCAAAGCATCCTTGGGGACTGTTGGAGGCTGACAGTGAGGCAGGCGTGCAGGACCACCGTGGCACGGTGGGCCGTGGCTGACGAGACGTCCTGCTTGGGGCTCCTCAAAAGTGGCACACGGGATGGTGGAAAAGCCTGTTTCCTACCTGCCAGAGCTGGGAAGATCAGCCAGGTCTGCCTGGTGTCCCCAGAGCAGATACTTGCCCAGGAATAGCAGCGATGCTGCCTCCATCAGCAAGGTCTGTTATTTCTCTGTCTAGCTCTGGCAGGGAAGATATAATAATAATCATCTTCCTCCAGAACCTAAACCAAGTAACGTGGCCAGCTAGGAGAAAAGCACTGAAATCGAGGGGGACTTGTCACTTGGGGACAACTCCACAGGGAGAAAAAAAAATAATTGCGTGTTCGACTCAAGAGGTCGTGATGCATCCTCATGTTGGCAGCATCCCAGAGGCTGGAGCTGTCAGCTGAAAGCCCCAGGAGGAAAGTGGCCTGGGAAAGGGGCTACGTGCAGCCATCTGGCATTGGCCGAGTGCGGCGGAGCTCAGCCAAGCCTGAGCGTTGCACCCGGGAGCCGGCACACTTGGCAGCCACCCTGAGAAGCTGCCTTAACAAAAAGGCAGTTATCGCCTTGATAAATCACTTCTGTGCTTTCTTTGAAGGTGGGAACCAAAACAAGGGAGATGCAATTTTTCTCTGTGATTGCAAAGTCTGCCCGCAGAGGGATGCCGACCTTGCACCCGCCCTGGCCTGGCCAGGGAGAGGCCGGCCACAGTCCCACTCTTCCAGGCTTTCAGGATGCACAAAGCAGCAAATCATCCTGGCCTGGCGTTAATCTGGCTCCAGCAAACCATCTGGCTTTGCTCATCCCCGTCCTAACCCCAGGTCTGCCCCCCATTCCACCCCGCAGGGACTTGGTGTGCAATAATCACTCTCTGGCAAGGCAGGTTTGGCTCCAGCAGGTTTTATGTCTAAGGAGGAGAGCAGTGCCGCGAACAGTACAAGATTGGGGGGGGGTCACCGAGCAGTGGTGAGATGATGGGCGCAGCACCCGGGGCCGCGTGGTGACGGTCGCAGCCAAGCGTCATGCAAGGTGGCCAGGGAAGAGGGGCTTGCCAGGACCGGTGCTCTGCGCTGAGCCCTCAAGACACCCCACTGGGCAAACACCACAGGAGGATGGAGCTTTACTGGGGCTCACAGGGCAGCCAAAAGCCCCCACCTGCTCTGGGAGAGCACCGCATCCTCCTTGGTTCCCCTCCCGCACACAGGGCAGGCGACTAAAAGCAGCAGTTGGCTCAGGCGGTCAAGCCGCTAAATAAGGAATTGAGATATCCCATCATTAAATAATAGGAAGAAACCATTAAGGGAGCATTAAAGGTCTGGGCTGTGCAGCTGGGCTCTAGCAACACCTCTTTTCTGCATCTGCACAGGGACCAGACCCTGTACCAGCGATTCGGGGCTGGAATGTGCCATTTTGGGAGCTGGGACCAGACTCTGCCTGCTTTAAGGGGTTGATGGCAAAGCTACAGGGCTACTGAGAACAGGGAGGGACCCGGTCCTCCCTGAGTAGCACGTGGGGATGGAGAGGACGCAGAACGGGGCTATGGCTCAGGCTGGCGTGACTAGAAGCCCTTCTCAATGCTGAGGGTGCGGCGGGTGACATGCTCCATCTTCCCCGAGATGTACTCGGTCAGGCTGATCTGGTAGTTGGCGAGCATCTTCAGCATCAGCCGCAGGTTCAGCCACCACTGCTCCTGGGGCAGCCTGTGCCTGCGCAGGGAGGAGACAGAGCTCTAGAGTGGCCCCAGAGACAAATTGGGAAGGTCCCCCTGGGACCTGTGAACCGCTGGGGCATGGGGACAGGGACTTACTCAAAATCAGTAACTTTCTTAAGCTCTGTCACGGGGCTGAAGGCCACCACCTTCTTCCTGAGCCCGATCACGCAGGCAGAGTCACCTGAGTTGGCAAACACGCGCCCTGGAAGGGGGACAGAGCCGACCACGGCCACCTCGCTGGGGGCTGAGTGGCCAAGCCTGGAGCAGCAGGGGCTGCCCAGTGCCACCAGCCTCCTGCCACCCCACTGTGGGACTCCCCCAGCCCTCGGCTCACCCTTGCGGTAGACCTCCTGCAGCTTCTCTGACATCCACAGCACTGCCTTCACTCCCAGCTTGGTCCCGTAGTTGCGGTCAAAGGGGGTTGGAGCTCCCCCCTGGGGGCAGAAAGATGGCCACGTCAAGCCTGCCCAGCTCTTGAGGACAGTGGTGGCCCATGTTGCCCTGTTCCCCATACCTGCTGGAGGTGGCCCAGGACGTTAATCCTGCAGTCAAAGATGCCTTTGCCCTCAGAGGAGTAGAGGTTGTAGAGGAACTCGGTGGTGTAGTGCTCATGGCACTTCTCGTTGCTGGGCGAGCAGAGAGAAGGGAGTGGGGGGCTGCTTCTTAACCTGGCATCCCCGGGGGGTCCCTCCATCCTCCCCTAAACACTTGGGGTTTTGCTGGTTTGTTCTCCCTGAGGCCCAGAGCCCTGGCCCATCTCCCCAGCTGGGGCCGGGGTGGGGATGGCAGTGCAGGCATGCAGCACAGGACTGTCCCCCTGGCTAAGCGTGGCATCAACCCAACCCTGCTGTGCCCAGGGACCCTCTGTGGCCATGGGAAGGGCTCAGCTCCGGCCTCGCTTCCCACCGCGGGGCTGGGTTTTTCAGTGAGTGTCCCCAAGGATCCTCAACTCACCGCAGCACCAGCCCTCTCTGGATATCCGTCTTCATTTTGTCCGTCAAGTGCTCCACGTTGGCCTGCAAGATGAATGTCAGGTTGCTGGCAGCCATCCTGGGTCCCTCTGGTCCTCTCATCTGGACCCAAGTGTCACTAATGTCAACCCAGCAGCTACACAGGGCTTGGTCACACTCCTCCAAATCCTGCCCCGACCCAGCATGCCCCCTTTCCCATTTTCCTTCTTATTTTACCCAAATAATGCTGCCAGAAAGCAGCTCCTGCCCTGCTCACCTTCAGGTCGTGAATGGTGAAGGGATCTTCATAGACGTAGGCGGCGTCAGCGCCCACCGCGATGCCAGTGACGGTCGACAGGTACCCACAGTAGCCACCCATCGTCTCCACGATGAAGACGCGGCGCTTGGTGCCTGAGGCCGACTGCTTGATGCGGTCACAGCTCTGTGCCGGAAGAAGCAGGGGTCACACCAGGAAAACCCATCTTTGCTGCTCGGGATGGGAAGCTGGTTCATCCCACACATCATCCCAAAACATGATGGGACCTGGTGGAGCGGGACAGCCCCATGAGCTGCACCCCCTGCCCCACCCCTCACCTCCATGGCTGCATTGACGGCTGTGTCCGAGCCCAGGCTGAAGTCGGTCCCAGGCACGTTGTTGCTGATGGTGGCGGGGATGACACACATGATAATGCAGAGCTCCTCGTACTGCCCACGGGCCTCGACCAGCTGCAGCACCCCCTCGTATGCCTGCAAGGAGCCAAGGGCTGGGGAGATGCTGGCCCCGGGCCAGATCCGCATCCCAAAAGGGATGGCCCAGGGTGCCACAGCCCACCCTACTCTCCACTGAAACAGGGCTGAGGGTTCCCCCGCACCTCAAACCCCCCGATGACCAGCAGCCCCTGGATGTTGAATTTCCGCACGTTCTCCACGATCTTTTCCATGCAGGTCTTGGGTAGCGTCCTGTGGTGAGGAAGGGGAGAAGAGATGATGGGGTGAGGACACAGGGTCCCTGCAATCCCCGGGGACAGTGGCGTCCCCGCCTGCTACATGCCCTTGCCCCCCCCCAGGGCTGTGCTTACCGCTTGGTGCCCAGCATGGACCCGCCACGTCCCAGCCAGCCTGCCACATCGTGCCAGCCCACCTCACGGATCTGCAAGCAGCAGCATTTGGTTTTGGGGTGGGGGAGCACCCCACTACCCCCTCCAAGCCCAAACCTGGCCTCCTGGGAAACCCACAGCACCCAGGGTTGCTGTTCCCCTTACCTGCCCCTTGGACAAGCCCTCGAAGCCATCGCTCACCACGTAGACAGTGTGTCCCTGGCAGATGCCGATCCGCACGGCCGACCTGACGGCAGCGTTCATGCCGGCAGCAGGGGCACCCACATTCAGGATGGCCAGGCTGAAGGGGCTCTGCGGGGACAGGGATGGGGACGGCACATCAGTGCATGTCTCCAAGGTGGGGACAGTGTCCTCTGCCGCTCCCCATCCCTCCTCACCTTCTCCTGCGCTGGCTTCTGGTGTGCCAGCAGCTTGTAGATGTTCCAGTTGTTCTCAAAGCTCCTGCAAGGACAAGGAAGTGTGGCCCCAAGGTGTGTGTGGGGCGAACCCTCCCTGGCTGCAGGAGCCACTGGTTTCCCCCCAGGAGAAGCCCCCATCCAAGCATGTCCTTTTGGACACCCCACAGGGATGTCTTCCCCCATCCCAGTCCCCGCTCCTCACCTCCCACGGAGCTGGATGGCCTCCTCAAACCTCTTCTCATCCATGGCCTTCTGCACATCCTTCGTCTTGGGAAGGGGGAAGAGATGCAGCACTGTGACACCCATGATTGCAGGGAGGGGAACGGGACCTCCACCCAGTGGGCTGGCATGTCTGATTCCCCACCAGTACTCACCACCTGGACACACTCCATGAGTGGCAGCCGCACAGACTGGTTCCCCGAGAGGCTCACCACACAGGCAGGGGTGTCTGGCGTGGCCTCCAGCAGCGCCATCACCGCTTCCATCCCCATCTTGCTGCTCTGCAAAGGGAAAGGGGCACTCGCCGCCCTGTGACACTGGGTCCACCCGTGCCAGCCAGGTGCGATGCTCCCCTGGGCTCACGCAGGGATGCTCCCATGGGCTTGGAAACAGCGTGACTGGTTGCATGCCTGATTTACAGCCAGAGAGCTCCTGGTTTTATTTAAAAACCTGTGAAATTTGCAGCAAATGAGGGGAAATGGGCTCATTGTTCTGTCCGGCACGGAGGGGCCGAGTCCATGGGGACTGTCGGAGCCTCATCCCACCTTTGCAACGGGCAGAGGGAAGGAAGGAGCAGAGTTCCCCAGCTGCCTGTTCCTTT